GGAATTAGCTCTCTGATCATTTCGGATTCTAACCGACCATTTCCTGTAACATTCCATTGGACAAATAGAACAATGTCGTTCAGGACCTCGATACTATACTACACCATCCTCATACGCGGACCAGAAGATTGCCGTGTAGAGTGAAAAGTGGCCCTTCTAGACGTTACACCATAGTAAAGCCTGTTATGGCACAAAACGAGTATGACCTACCCTACAACTTTAAAATGCTTAAGGTTAGTTTCCATTGTGACAGTTTTGTTTACTGCGATGCGGTGCTTCCAATTAATTTGATACTGCCTACCAAATGTTGCTTTCTCGACTAATGCTCTTGTAGGTATAGTGTAGGGTTATAGCAGTCGATTCCACAACGGAGCCGATAAGCATGACTAGAACAGAAACGACATATGTGGAAGAGAACCGGTGAGGTGATGCCTCCGAAGAAGTAAGTTGCCAAGAAAGGATCACTGAGGTTCAAACGAGAAAACGTGGTAAGCAAAACATAGAGGCTGGTAATGCGAACTCCCGGATCTATTCACCTTGTTCCATATTGGGGATGAGGTGAAGCGAAAGGCTTCTGTATACTCTTGTCACATTCTTGGTGGTGGAAGCTTGCTTATAGGAATCATTGTATGCAGGTACCGTTGAAGGAACGAACTCTTTAGGCTTGGCATCATCACATACCGGGTGATAGAGCATGATAAAACACGCTGGCATTTTGTATAACGTTGTAATTCAAAAGTGCATCGAGATGCTTCTGATAGAGAGTGTGTGTGAGTACGCATAGAACTTGGAAAGATGTCTAATCTGTAGAACCCATGTTTGAAATCCCAATTCTCATCAACTCTCCCTCAACTGCCCAACACTGGATAATTGAATGGTTGGTGCTTCATGTCTCGTCAGTCTTCAAAAAGAAACAAATCAGATTAAACCAAAACGAAGATATATTAACGTTTGCCGCCAAGTGGGAGCGTTTGTCTCTTTCTGTAGGAATATAATCTCGAAAGAGTCGATTATGAAATCGTTGAGATCGCAGTACTACAATAACCCTCTCGCTTGCAGGAAGTGACTTTCCATCACTCCCCCTCCCCCTCCTCTTGGATCGTGATGACACCACACCACCAACAAAAATCTGACAATTCCCGCCATTAATCTAATTTTTCCGGAAACAAGACTAATTCGGGTAAGGAGTCAGGACTAGTCGACTGCTAGAGGCTTGAAAGTTGAGTCCTACAATTGGCAGCACAACTGGCAGTAGACAACTTAATTTAACATTAGACAACCTCACTCTTGCGCCTTGGCCCTCGAAGAATGAACGGATTTGGCAGCCTAGCCCATCTTATCCTATCCTCATCCCTATCAACCAATTTAGCTTTTTCTATAACAGTATTGTCACCCTACACAGGGGGGAGGGAAACGAGGGGAGGCATAAAGGTCAATAGTATCAGTTCATTTAAAGCTTTCTTGATTGTCCAATGACACCTGGAGAACTAGATTGAATCGAAGCCTTTTCAATCACGTCCATTGATTTCCAATTCGACATCTACATCATTCAACTTAACCACTTGTCCCAATTAGCAGCAGCAAGGCCTTTACTTATTGTGCTTACGGGGTGTTCTTACCGCTTTAGTGTGAAATGTTCGATCGATTGGGAAGCGAGGACTCAAGAAGGCCAGAGCGTAAAACAAACCGTGTATCAGATTTGCAACATCTAACCCCTCCCCTCCCCAGTGTAACAAAAGAAAATCATAGTCTTTCAACCGTTTTTTCTGGTGAGTAAGAAATTGATACTCATTATGCTATTGTGCCTGAAGTTTTCGTGAATTTTTAATTTGTTTTTGTTATTTTTTACTTTGCATTTTCTTCGTTGATGCCGTTCTTTAGTCGTCGACAAGATATAGAGTACCATTATGAAATTAACCTGAAGGGCCGAAGAGCCAATATTCAAACAAATCTTCTTGAAGGTTGATCCAGTACATTCATTTGTAGCGACTGGGCGTCGCTTTTTTTATTTGACAATATGTCGACGAGCGCAAACCTGCCGGCAGGATTTTCAATTACTTCAATAAATGGTGTGAGATGTACTGCTATCCCAAGGACGGCCAATACAGTACCATCAGCAATTACAACTGCAGCTCCAGTTTCTACATCTACATCTACATCATCATCATCTTCTTCTTCTTCTTCTTCTTCTTCATCATCATCATCATCATCATCATCATCATCATCATCATCATCATCATCATCATCATCTACGTCTACCTCCTCAAGTTCGACTTCAACTTCAACCCCAACACCAGAGAGCATCGCTCCAACGCCGCAACCAACCTCAACACCAGTTAGTGTGGTCCCAGCCGCTGCGAGTTCACCGGTGGCTGTTGCGGTGGGAGGACCAGTAGTACAATCGTCAAGTACGACTACGAGTGCAGTTGAATCAAAACCAACTCCACCAACCAAACCGCCACCTCCACCTCCACCTGCACCAACCCCAGTAGCTACCACCTCAAGTGCATCCCAAACTCAAACAACTTCAACAAGTATCAGTACGACAACATCACCTAGCCCGGCGTCCAAAGGTACGACGCCAACTGAGTCATCAAGTACTTCAACAGCAATTGCTCAAAGTCAGATAAGTACTACAGCTACATCCAGCCATGATCCCGCAAGTCGCGATCCCAGTGTTGGTCATGCAACTTCAGTCGTGAGCGCAACAGCATCGTCCACACAATCGGTTGAGTCAACAGCTGCAAGTGGAATTTCTTCGTTTGGTCGTCTCATGACTGCACCTGTAATTGGAGGAATACTAGGCGGAATCGGATTTCTTGCATTAATAGGATTGATCATATTCTGCTGTAGGAGAAGAAGAAAGTCAAAGAGAAATTCTCTCCTCACGCCTCTGACAAATGGAACTCAAAACCAGTTTTATGATATTGATAAGAAAGCACAAGGCCAGTATTACGATATTTATGATGAATCCGTAGGATCAACGGGTCGAGGTACAAACCTTAAAGCACAAATAGGGGGTGCCGCGACAAATTTTGGCGCAGGTTTAGCTGGTATAGGTTCTACTCTTAAGAATCATGTCCAACCAGGGAATAGGCCAACCGTGGATCTCGATAGAGGAAACTCACAGTTCTTTGAAGGCCCAATTCCATATCATAGCAGGAACAACTCTTCGGCATCTGCACATGCATTGCACTACGCCGCAAAAGATCGAGCAGATGACTTCACGAATAAACTTAAAGGTGTCTTTCGAAAAACTCCGAAAGAAGAACAGAGTCCTTTTGCAATGGCACGTGGAATGTCTGAAAAGCAGGACTTTGGCAATCTGATGGACATGGATGATCGTAATTTATTAATGAAAGCTGAGCGTCGCCGTCTTTCTCTTTCTTCAAATTCGGGTTCTGGACAAATGTTCGGTAGCTTGGGGTTAGACTTCGGTATTCCACAAGATCCATTTTCAGATCCTGCTTCAAGAAACTTGAACACCAATCCATTTGTGGACCCGAACAAATGGGATTCTATTTCTCGGCCTGGTCCTGCCATTCCGAGAACTAGTACATATATCAGCGACGTCCGTCGTTCTCGTGGCGAGTCATTGGACAGTACTACTCGAGGTCATAAAAATGCACCAAGTAGTGTCTATGGACCAGCTGCATATCGCACTCCAAGCATTAGTAATGTATCACGCTACCCCTCAAGTATAGCACCCAGTACGGAAAGCTATCGTGATACATTATACTCCACAGCTTCCAACATCAACAATACACGTAGAATGGCTGGGCGATCTGATCCCTTCGATCTCGAGCGACCAGAGCTATGGTTACCAATGTTGGCAAACAACGTCCCAAAATCAAATGGCCCTGCGGTGTTTGAACGTGGTCCTAACTTGTATCCCGATCCATTAACGATGCCCACTTTTAAACCAGGTCAGGCGCCAGTAGTGCCAATCCAAAAATTTGAGAGCAGCGACACGAGAGTAGCAAGTCAAGGTACTTATGAAAGCAAATACAGCAGTAGAACATCAATGGGTGACTGGGGGGATCCAGGTCCAGATATAGGGAGTGGACCGAGCAGTTTGGCTAGCAAAGGGTTTTATGGTATGAATGGCAACATGAATCAACAGTGGGATACGAGGAGAAATGCAGATAATGTTAGTCCGATGAGCGCTACAAGTAGTAGGGGAGGGGTTGGAAAAGCTAGATGACGATAGCGATGAAGACGAAAATGAATATGACTTTCTTTTGTGGGATGGACCTTGGGAGTGTAAGCAAAATATACCATTGGGGGTTCACGTACCATTCGTTTAGTGTGGACTGGAACTGGAGTTAATTGGCATTTGCAATCTTGAGCGATGTAGCGAATACGCGATTATGTTTTATATTCAGGGAGGGTAGGATGAGAAGACGGGAGAAGATTTGTACAATAGGAGATAACTATCTCATGGGAATTGGGGTTTCTTTCCCAGGCGAGGGAGAGAAAGAGAGGCAAGCACCACAACACACTTATTGATTCATGGAGTAAGGACCACCACATACGATATTAGTTATTTATAGTTGAATAGTTCCGAGGAGATTTCATGTATATTCTTCGTATTATGTTTTGTATAGATAGATAGATAGATTCAATTCTACCTGAATGAGTAAATGAATAAATTTGGCCGTTTTTCATGCCAATTAGTTCCTTCTATAGTTTGAAACTATACTTTCACATTGGAAACAAAAGGTGATTGAAGATCTAGACGGAGGAGACGAGACGGGAAACCATTGGGTTCCTCAATTTCATCCTGACAACCTAAGGCACCAACACCCCACTAGCGTCGGCAAAATCTTCACACAGCAGCCCTAACGAGCAACAGCAATATCCCAAAAGCTCAAATTTCTTTCAACATCCTTCTTCTTTCTTTGGACGACCAAGCCAATATTTTCTCCCACCTCACCGTCTCTCCACCAACTCCCCACCTCCTCTTCTCATTCTTCACAGATACCCACGATACGATAAACATGGGTGTCCCTTTTGACTATGCGCCAGATAGGCCTGAACATATCGATGCTATCCTCAACGGACTCGATCGTTATAACCCCGAAACAACAAATATTTTCCAGGAATACGTAACGCTGCAGTGTGAAGAGAAAACTTATGATTGCTATGCTAATCTAGCGCTCTTGAAACTGTGAGTTGGAAATCTTTTCTTGCTTTGTCTACCGTTGCTTTTCTCTTTTGCTGGGTTGAAGAATGAGGGGCAGAGTAGGAGCTCAAAGCTCTTGACACATAAGCTCAACGAATCCCAAGCTCGAGAAAGAGAAGATACACTGCGTCTAAATGATGAATGAACGTTTAACGTTCCCTATTACCTGAAACTTTGGAGAATGAATCCCTCCATTTCATGAAGTTTATTATTAGCTCTATCTGAAAGACAGGATATATATCAATTTCTTAAACTATCGCAAAACATCAATTGGAATACATAACTAATGTATCATACCAAAACCACAGTTACCAATTCAACCCCCACCTCACCAAAGACGAAACCATAACCAACATTCTTGTCAAGTCCCTCACCGTCTTCCCCTCCCCAGACTTCAGCCTCGCTCTCCACCTCCTCCCACCCCACATCCTTACACCTATCTCAGCCTCATCATCTCTCCCCGCAGCAGGCGACGCTCCTCTCTCCGAAGCCGTACAAAAGCTTGCCGTTCTCAACACTCTCCTCTCCTCCGCAAACTACAGTCAATTCTGGTCAACCCTCGATTCCGATGATTTATACGCCGATCTCATCGCCGATGTAAGTGGTTTTGAAGAATTGGTCCGTATCCGTATCGCCTCGACGATTTCTCAATCCGTGCGCGAAGTAGCTAGTTCAGAGCTCGAGAACTGGCTTGGAATGAACGGTGAAGCCTTTGAGAAATTCATCAAGGAAGTATGTGGATGGACCATAGAAAATGGCGCTGTCATTGTACCATTAAACAAGGAGAATGAGGCCAAGGGAACCGTGGTCAGGGAAAATGTCAAGATGGAGCAATTCTCGAGGGTAATCAAGAGAGCTTATGAGCAACCTGCTTAGGTGTGCAAGGTTTAGTAATTATGAGATATGCTTGTATGCAAAGGGATAATGGGTTGGAGGTTGGCGTTATATCAGGGTGTCCTTGAGGAACGGGAAAAGATGCATACTCTTTATCTGTTTTGCATCTCCCTCGATAACGAGGATCTTGAGATGAGTGGATGGCTTCTAGACGTCGCATAGATAGTAGCTGCAGTGTGAAATTTTGCTTCACTATAAGATGCACGCGAAATCTGTTGCATGTAGCCGAATGAAATTGAAAAAGTCAAAGCCCCCCATTTATGCTTCATTTCTCATATGGTATTTGCAATAATGGCTATGTATTTATGACGCTTGAACAACCTCAACTCGTCTCCTATTTCTTCCCACCTAACTCTTCCCACCTAACTCTTCCCATTGCACTCCCGCCCATTCTTCTACGTATCCCGTCTTTCCACCTTCCACCCAGCTGGGCACACAATCCTTTTCACAAACCCCCAGAATGACCGTCCCCCAATCCATTCCATCCAGGCCCTTTTCTTCCCTCTCCAACTCCATAATGGCATGGGGTGTTACCTGCACTTCAAATACTCTCCCCGCCCCACAGTTCGCACAGCGCGGTATCTTCCAGTTCCCACAACCATTACTAACTTTAACCTTTTCGTTCCCCTTTCCAGCATCCGCAAAGATCTTTCCCACAGAATCTGTTTTGGAGTAGAGAAGAGGGGAACCACGGAATTCATAACGGATTACTTGTTCCGGATTTTGGGAGAGACGATCGGCGAATTTCTGGAAGGTCGTATCGTGTGCTGATTCAAAAATTTCCTTGTCTTCCTTTCCGCCGGATGATGAGTCGGGTGTATCGTCGACGATTGTAGCTTGGGGTGGTGGAGGTAAGGGCTCTTTATCGAGAGTCTCATAGTCGGCATCTACGAGGTAGTAAAGGGGATAGGGTGCTGGGAGATCTGTTGTAGGCCATGGTTCGTTGGGTGGAGGGGTTTGAGTCGCTGGTTGAGATTGCGGATTGTTGAGGGAGAGGGTAGCTGCAAAGGTTTTTGGAAGGGTATCCTTTGTGGTTTCTGAAGATGTAGGTTCTGGGGCTTGAGGTGGCTTTGCAGCGAGTTCAGAGGTAGCTAAACTAGCAGCTGTAAAAGGATTCGAAGGTGTGTTTCCACCCGATGGTGTAGAGAATGGATTTGAGCCCGTTGCGAATGGATTTCCGGATGTTGATGGCTTGGCTCCAAATAAACTTTCTCCTATCCTAGCTGCTGGCTTTGCGGGCTCTGGTTTTGCTTTCTCTTTCTCCGGTTCTCTTGATTTCGGCTTGCTTGCAGATTCAGCAGTTCGTGTACCGCGTAATGCGCGAACACTTCCTTCCTTTCTCCGACATGTTTTTCGGCGACATGTTAGGATGTATAGACGACGTTCATGATCGGGGAAGTGAGAGGGGAGATCGGCGTTTAGTTGGAGGATGAGAACCATGAGATCGTTGCAGATTTTGCATTTTGCGAGAGCGGCGGATGGAGGCGTGGAAGGGTCAATCCAAGACTGAAGTAAATGTTAATCATATTTCGGATGACAATTGAAGTGGAATAAACTGTAAATTCTATGATTTTCGAAGAATTATCGAATGGAGAACTTACAGGCTCACCACCTAAATAACTGATTGTATCATCTTGAGGTTCTTTCCCAGCATAACCCAGTAAAACATTGGTTTCTGTGTAGTCTTCTTCCTCACCTCTAGATGATTCACTATCATATGGTGGCATTGTGACACGAGTTATCAACAGCGCGCAAGAAAAATGTAAAAAGTAATAATTAGAGTATGAACCGCTTGAGTTAGTTAGTAAATGATATGTAAAATCTTCCACTGATAGATTGCCCCGCGATAACTTTTTTACCCCCACCTAAACTTTTTTTTACAGTAAGCGAGTGAGTGTAATGTAAGGCTGAAGGTGTGGGTTAGAAAATGCTTGGGCCAGATCAGCTCCCGGTGAGCTCTGTAGTTGACTGATCTCCGGTGGACTTTTTACTCTTCCATGTTTGAAGGAACCCGGATGGTTCATTGAGTCCAATCAATTTCGAATGTTGACGTTACATGATTTTGTATTAGTTTAAAATTTAAAAATGAAGCTTCGCACCAGAGTTCCAAGCTTCTCCTGTATAAGTCTTCAATTTGTGGTGATTGAAACGTAGAATGAGATTTCTTACAGAAAGAAATCATCCATTGGTGGCCAAGGGTTCTCAAGTTCTTCTTATTTGCAAATCACATCATTTGAAGGGCCTTGATTTTCGAGACGATCATGCTTTAATTGTATTGTACCCGATGGGTCAACTATCCAATCAGCATCAATGACTATTGCTCAAGACCATGTAATCCCTTACAACACCACTATCATTCTATATCTGGGTATCGTCTAAGAATTTCTTATCTTCTTACATTACATGTCCTTATAGTACTAAAACCGTCTTCTTTCAATGAACTTCTATCCTCGACACCATATCACCTCCCAAACGAGCGATCTCCGCCAACATCGCTGACTGGTTGATTTTGACATTCTTCGCTTCTTCGTCATCCCCATCGTTCTCTTCAGGTTTTACCGCATATGCCAAGTTCACCTTGAAGGTTCTAGATACATTCGTTTGCGGATTCCATAGTCCGCCAATTCGAGAGATATCTATTGCACTACGGAAAAAGACAATGCTTCCACTGTATAGACTCTCTAATTCTTCGCTGAACATTCGCAGGGGTTGATAGTCGACCTTGTCAATGTTCAACTCTGATTGCACTTCAAGATTTTTGAAGCGATGTGAATCCTTTGCTTTCGAGGTACCGGCAGCCTTAGGATTTAAATGAATGACAAAATTATAGTCATTTGTAGATGTTGCAAACAGTGATCTAGTATCCAAGTTCAAGCCTTGGACTTTGACGGCTTTGCAAGCTGATCGCGCAAGAGCGGTCATTCTTGCGGCTACCATTTTCGAGGGCCCCTTGTCAGTAAAAGCGGTTCCGGTTGTGTCATGATTCGACGCTGCAAATACAACAGTGCGGTTCATGCCTGGATCAATCTTTCGCCATGCCTCCAGCCTGGTATTCAAGGTGGAGACATCTTTATCTGTCATCGTACCGGTGAAGTCTACGATTAGTGGAGTGGAACGCCAATCCCATTTCGAAATGAAGAGCAAAGTTCGTAAAAATCCAGACATAGCACTCGATGGCGCCTTCCACGGATAAGGTTGTAGAAAAGCTCGAGCTGCCAAAAGCTCGATAAGCTCACCACTGACATGATCAGAAAGCATGTGGCGATCGAACCATTTCTTAACAAGACGAATGGTTGGTGATAGAAGAGGGAATCGAGTACAATGTGTTGATATGGATTGCGTATGTAAGGGGAGCTGGATATTAAACCTTTTATAGGTAGAAAGTGCTGAAATTGCATCTTCTCGCCATCGATTATCACTGGACTTATCTTTGACTTGGCGTTCAAGAAGTGTCTGTTCTCGCTCATTGTGAATTCGAAGGCGGAACGTGGCGCCCGATGGATAAAACACATCCAAGAAAGCACAGTTCTGTAGTGGTTGATCCTCATTTTCTATGCCAAGTCTCGTGATTATGCCATCGTTAGACTCTGCCAAAAGTTCGCCGATCTTGAGAAGAAAAGCGATCTTAGTTCTTTGGATGGCAACGACGTCATCTGGCCACCTACCAGATCCCTCAAACTGAATCAGCACATCTGCTGGTACATTCAAAGGTTGCCTAGGAGCAAACAAGGGAAGGTCAATTGACGAAGAGCGCAATTGAGGATCTATTGCGGAAAGCTGTTTCAATTGCAACGGCAGACTCTCCATGTCTCTGATGTCCTTCTCGAAAGTATTGTATGCCTGTCCGAGGACCTCAAAAGCTTTAGAGCTATTTCCGTACGAGGGTAATAATTTCTCAAAACCCTCGCCAATGAAGCTCAATCCTTTGCTTATCTCGGCTCCAAAGTGTCGCTTTATAAGATAGGCGACGATATCCTCAAAGATGGAATAAGTTGAACCAGGCGACCATACTAAACTTTCAAGGATACTTCCGTCTCTGAAACGTCTCAACTCGGCCTTCTCACCCCAGAACTTCTGAAACTTTAATGCTTTCTTCTTATCTTCCGCAGGCGGACCATGGTCAGCGAGACGACTGATATTCGCTGGATCAAATAGAACCGCAAGACTCAAAGTCTGGTCATTACTTGTTGACGGCCCCGAGCTCTTAACCGACCAAGAGGTTGTTTCGATGGCCTTAATATCTAAGAGCTTGACCCTATCGGACAAGCCCTCCTTCAAAGTAGCGAATACACGGTTTGCAAAAGTGGTGGTATGAATCTTATGATCACAACTAAACACACCATCTTTTTGGCCGGGAATAGGAATATTTACGATGCAGTCATATTTCTGCAGGATCTGATCGGCCTTTGTGATGAATGCTGCCTCAAACTGATCAAAAGTAGAGTCATTGAGCATCGTCAATGAAGTCTTTGCTTCATCACGCAGTAGTTCGTATGAAAATGGCGTCATTTTGTACAGAATATTGACGCCTCTTGAGCCATCGTAGAATACTGGGCTGTCGGATTTCGCAATCTGGAGATCTGGTGCCTCGTAAAGCACTGGCTTCTTAATCAGATCAGTGGCCGATAGATATTGAACTACTGCCTTGAACATTTGATAGCTGCTATATCCGGGAGATAAAAGGCTATGTCCTCTGGGACCACCTCCTTTCAGCAGCAGAGCTGTCAAGGCGGCCCACTCAAAGTGTCCCAACCCTCCCTGAGATATAGCACTGCCAAACCCTCTCTGTCGAAGCCAAATTCTGCCAAGCAGACACGCATCTTTGAAACCTTCCGATATCTTGGATGCATTATGGAGCAGTTGGAGATATGATTCAAAGTTACAGTCCGCGCTCAAGGACGAATTGTAGAATGGTGAAGGCTCCGGTGTGGTGGCGTCGCTATCTGCTCCTTCTTTAGGGCGAATCGTGTTCTTTGTAGGGC